CCAAGGCAACTGACAAGATGGCGGGTTAGAGATACCAGTGAGAAATTCACCTTTTCCAACAACTCTCTTATAAAAGATTCTCGTTATCTTTGAGCTAAGAGAAAATTCTTAAATATCATAAAGCTCATGAAGGCTTATGCCTATGATTAAAACTGGTTAGTTTTAAACAGTGTCTACCAAACTCTAAAAATCATGTGTTGCCATAATAATGTCTGCCAGTTGCCAAGACCAAAACACCTGTCCTTCTGATGTTTGGTAACTAAGTCTGTTAATTGGCTTCAGAATACAAATGAGGCATATTGTGATTCAAGAGCTTCTATCTGAGTTTGTTCCTGGGCTGGCTGTTATATTATAAAGCATGCAGTTGCACAGGCAGTCAGTAGTGGGTAGTCTCAGAATAACTTTATTTGTGCCCCACAAGTTGTTCCTAATGAGGAAAAACAACATTCTGGAATGTACCATTTGGTCACCTCATCTCAAAACGGATATCCTAAAACTAGAAAGTGTGCAGAAAGAGTCAAAGAGAACAGAGCTTAATGTCATTTTAATATTCATTTTGGGGGAAAGCCAACAAGCATTTCCAAGCATCCCGTTGGAAAAAATCTTCTGTGGGAGATGAGGATGATTCTACAATGTTCACATGAGGGTGGGGAAGAAACTGACCATGAACCCTGGTCTACATGGACAAGCACAGAGAAAGAATAAATATATCAAGAGAGGTAGACCATTGCAATGTTACAAAACCAAAACCAAGATAAAGAAATCCCAGTATTGATATAAATGAAAGCCAGAAGTTTGCTATTTGTTTGTTTGTTTGTTTATTAAATGTTTTTAATGGGAGGGGGGCAATTGAACAGGTAAACTGAGGAAAAAATAATAGATTTTTATTTCACATATGGGGATGTCTAAAAAAATCTGGATTAATGAATCTGGATTGATGACTCTGAACTTGATGTATAGCACAGGTGTCAAACTCGCCACGTCACATGACATGTCACGACGTATTGTGACTTTTTTTGCATTGCCGGAGCTGGGGTGGGCACGGCCTCTGCATGATGCAACCGGCCCACGGGCCAGCAGTTTGACACCCCTGATGTATAGGAATAGTTTGCTGATGTGTGCTGTTTGTCAATGTTTTAAATAGTCTATGTTTTTCAGCCTTCCACATTCAAATGCTGATTAAGGTGCTGTTATTTGCCTTACTTCTTCTGTACAGTAATTTTTTTTAAAAAAGGCAAAATACTATTAACAATCTCCTAATTCCCTTGTATTCTTCTGCTATTCCAACTACGATCATGGTTGATTTCTTGCTTCTGATATATTAATATTATGAATGCTTTGGTATCATTATTACTATCATCATCAAGACAGGCAGGTATTGGCCAATCAACCAGACATTGTGATAGTAGACAAGGATCAGAAGAGAGCAGGGGTGATAAATGTAGTGGTGCCAAGTGACACCAACATCAAGAAGAAGGAGTATGAGAAGCTGGAGAAGTACCAGAACATGAAGGAAGAACTAGAAAGGATGTGGAAAGTAAAGACCAAGGTGGTTTCAATGGTGGTAGGAGCCTTCAGGGCTGTGAGTCCTAAGCTGGGAAAGTGGTTCCAATAGATCCCATGAACAATATTGGAACTCTAGGTCCAGAAGAGTGAAATGTTAGGAACAGCTAAGATGCTGCACAGACCCCTCCATTTCACAGCCTCCTATGGAGGATCTGAGATTGAGGAAGACACATACCATTCATAGGAAGGCAACTTTTTATTTAGTTATTTGCTGTATTATATTTTTATTCTGACTGCTTTCTTTGTATACCACCTGGAGCCAGTTCAGAGTCAGGTGGTGCCTAAATGGAATAAATTAAATTGATGTGAATGGAAAACAAAGATTGGTAGCTTGGTCTGAAGAAAAATTCCCAAATCCGTATCAAGTAGACCATTTATTAGACTATCTTTACATTATAATTCATAATGCAAGCTTTAAAATACTTAAAAAATACTTAAGAAGGCATTTTACATATTTTTACATCTTTAGTTGAACTTGAAAATCTTTCAAGGATTTTTAAGGATTTTAGTTTGCATTATCAACAGTACTGGCAAAGAATGAATGTATTTGGATTTCTTTGTATAATTAATTCCAAAATGTTAGGATCTAAGCATTTAAATACAAAGTATGCATAGAAACACAGCCTTATAAATCTACAGGCAGACTTTGACTTACGTGGGACAGTCTTTACATGAGTCATCACATAATCAATCTGATTTTACAACCTTTTTTAAAATGGTGATTGTTTTATGTGGAAGTCATAAAACAAAAGCCACAGTTGTAAAGTGAACGCTGTGATTGTTATCAAAGGCTTGTATTTGCAGCGTAATGTATTTAGTACTGTACTCTGGAACTTTAGAATAACTTGCCATTATTTTTTATGTAATTTCCAAATGTTTAAATTATGGTTTTTTCCTCATACGAGCAAACCTTTTCAAACAGATTATTGGATGGAAACGCAACATCATACAATGTTTTTCTGTAGCTCAGAGAAAATTATACAGTTAGGACAGACATAATTATATGAAGCTGAATGTATAGAGGAGCAGTGTCTAAAAAGAGGGAATTTAAACTATCTTAAATATTTTTCATACAGTATTCTGCCAAATTTTGTTCATGACAAGCATTCTCAAAGAGTTCTATGTGCAAAACCAAGTAAGACTCTAATGAGGAATTAAAATAAAGGGGGTTAAAGTAAACAAAGGCATGCTTAGTGAGTACAAGAAGTCCATTTGGGTGAAGGTTACATACAATTAACATTGAAATTGTGCTGTTCTTTCAGGTTAATGCAGTATTAGCATTGCAGACGATCTGCCTCTGGGTCACACATGGTCATTACTTTCTTTTTTATTATTATTATTAAAAGTTTTATCAAAATTACAATATAAACCCCCATACCCACCCCAACCCCCCCTCCCTCTCCCCCACTTCCCAGAGCTGAACACAGGGTTACAAATATAATAATCATAATCTAACTAACATTAACCAACTATTTAAATAACCAAGTCCATAACGCGCTTTAACTCCCTTTTAACATAAATTTAAACAAATTAAAATTAAACACAATAATAAACAAATTAACAACCTAATTGTTAAACAATACAATACTAAAATAATAATAATAATATAATAATGATAATAATCTAAAATTTACTCATGGTCATTACTTTCTAATTTGACCCATCAGACAAATTCTTTATAAAAGACAAAAGTGAAAAAGTTGATAAACCATATTTGGTTATATACGTATTTCAGGGATGTTCCTATTCAAGGCCCCGGCAGCAGATTGGTGGGTTGCATTAAACTGAGCAATTGAATGGGGAAATTGTGTTTGCACAATATTCTCTGGTCCATTTACTTTGGTAATAGTTTTCCAAAGAACAAAAAGATGCCAAAGAATGTCCTTGGAACACTTGTGTGTGTGATTTCTCTCTTCTTCCCTCTCAATTTTGTTTGATTTGATATTGTTTGGGCTTTGTATACCTACCGTAGCTTCCTATGGTCAATAAGCCTACATATTACTGTCTTTTCTAGAACAGTTGTGTTTGCTTTTTTCTTATTATATTTTTTATTTCACCTCAATCACCTATTCTAATCTGATCTGAAGTTAAATATGGGCTACAGAAGACTGAGATGGGTTCAGTTTCTGGTTCTGAGTGGTGATTCTCATTAATACCTCCTCCTTTCCTACTGACAATATTCAGTGGAATATATTTAAGTAAAACTACCTTTTACAATTGACTGATGGCGATCTTGTCAATGCTGATGGTGTTCAAGTGGTACTCTAGTTGTTTGGGGATTGTACTCAAGCACCTATTACTGTTGTCACCATCTTTGCTTTCTTTTGCCATAGTTCTTCTGTTTCTATTTGCAGGTCTTTGCATTTTGTCCATTTTTTTCCCTTCTATTCTGCTGTCTCCAGGTACTGCACTATCCACTATCCACATTTCTTTGTCTTTGTTATCGACAATTATTAATATTATTATTTTATTCTGCATTTTTAATATAAAATTCAAGGCAGGAGAGGCATGCTTTGTGTCTATGAAAAGATGTCACCTGTCAGCATCTAGGAGGGCAGCATTTTTGTGCTGTGACTCATATCCTCTGAAACAACATCTCTTTCCCAATTAGACTTGCCCCAACCATGTTGCTCTTTTGCAGGGCATAAAAACCTAGCTTTGTCATTAAGCCTGGGGCCCTGATGGTATGGATGATCCTGTATCATCAGTTGTGGGTTTTCTCAGCTGCTATTTTTATGTTGTTTTTGTTTCAGCTATTTTGGTTGTGTTTCACTGTTTATATTCTGTTTTAATTGTGTTTTGATTGTGAGCTGCCAAGAGTCATGTATATGAGATGGGCAGCCTATACATTATCATCATCACCATCTTTTCCCCACTGATGAGGATTCTTCCTAAATTCTACCTCATTAGCTTTCTTTTCTTTGCAACTGCTAAACAACAGTACTACTATACCAGGTTTCCAAAATAATGCTGAAGAATGATTTTGCAGCAGCTCTTACCATCCCTTGGGTTTTCTTCTCTGTAAAAACAAATGTAATGAAACAAGGAGAGAAACAGGATGCTGGATGCTGAGTTGGTATGAATTCAGAAATGTTGTTTTCCAGGAATTGGACCAGTCAATGTAACACAAGAAATTACGAACACCCCTGACATTGAATCAACTTGATAAGAGACAGAGTATCTGATGGGTGGAGATGTTTCTTCTGTACTGCCAATGATTTTGATTCATTCAGCTCTTGGCACGGAGTGAATTATCTCCAATGCCTCAGAGGCATTCTTCAAGCAACTCCAACTGTATTTTGGCATTTCTTTTGATTTATTTAGTTATATAAATCTTTTTATGCTGTATCACAAGGGATGGGACCAGAACTTAAAATAAATGTTGCTTTTCTTCTCAATAATCAAGTAATCCTTAATTATTTTCTGCATTGCAGATGTCGATGAATGCGCAACTGAATCACATCAGTGCAACCCTACCCAAATCTGCATCAACACTGAAGGAGGATATACTTGTTCCTGCACTGAAGGATATTGGCTTTTAGAAGGCCAATGCTTAGGTATGTTACAATGGGATCAGCTACTCTTTTAGAAACTACTATCCAGAATTTTTACTTGATTCCTAGAAGAAATACCGGTGACCCTCCCTCTCCAAACTTCTATTAAAGGATAACAAGGATAGATGGGGAAAGAATAGGGAATTTTACGTTACAAGTGAGGTTGAGAAAAATAGCTTATGACTTCAATACACGTAGTCCTCATTTAGTAACCACAATTGGGACTGGCAGCTTGATCGTTAAGCAAAATGGTGATTAAGTGAAACTGTGACTGTGCTTATCTTACTTCAGCTTTTTATTTCTTTACAAGCCTGCAAAATTACTTTTTCAACACTGTAATAACAGCGAATGGTTGCTAAATGAGGCAGTTGCTAAATGAGGATTGCCTGCAATGACTTGAGAACTACTATTCTTGAAAGTGTTACTTGAATATCCCTCTCCAGATTCTGTGCATATTCCAAGGGACATAACTGGCATCAATAGATTAACATATTTTCCTCTCTTGATTAATGTGGAAAACATTCCTTTTACTTGTATTTAGTTGCACAATATCAGCACATAGCCAAATTATGGTGTTACATTAGCAAACAGTACTGTCATATTCATGACATGTTTATCAATTGATGAGATCGTGAATTCCAACGATCAAGAGGATTTTTTTTAGAATGCTATATGAAAGGGCATGAAATTTGGGCGACTTTTTTAAGAGCCCCCAAAACATTATCAAAGGAATAAACTAACTGAAACACTAGGACAGTTCTATAATGGATTCTTTGCTTTGAATGCATTGCTTTTGTTGGCTGTGACTGGTTTTTCCAGCCTTTTAGGTCTGCTTTGAACTTTTGCCATGGTCTAAGTTCCAGCTGATTTCATCAAATGGTGAAATACATTAGTACAGTCTAACAACCTTACTGGGAACAGCAGATATCTGGCTTCTCTCCCTTCAGAACAATTTCCTGTCACATTCCTCTGCTCATCATATAGACATGATGAGCAGAGTGTGTGTCTGTCTGTCTGTCCGTCTATTATCCGCCCGACTCTCTCTTATATATGAATGAGCAAGGAAAGAGTTTCTTTTCATTCCTTTTTCTGTTGCATCATGCTTTTAAATTGCAAGCCATTGTGATTATTTTATTCTTTTTACAGACTGAAGCAACATCTTTAGAATACTCCTCTTATTATTTTCTTTTATACTGGTGCCAAATCTAGGTGCTTTTAAGTAAGCATTTAACTAAAATTGATAGTGGTCAATTGCCCTGCTCCACAGGTTGCTGGACGTGGATTCCTATATGCACCAAGTAAAAACTAAATATATCACCCTTTTTGCCACTCTGAAGCCTCCCTATCCAAGGTATTCAACCTCATCTTACGTATTTTGGATTTTATTCGGTCTAGGGGACGAGTTCAGGATTTCCTTGGATTTTCATAGTTTCATGATAACTATGAGTTATGAGCTCATGATGTTAATATGATCATGGGCTCAGCATACATAGGGAGTCACTCTCGGGCTCTAGCTTTTGGGACAGTGAGAATGTGTTCTTGATATTGAGAACAACATCATTTTTTGGGTCAGGTTGACTATTCTGTGGTTACCATGAGGCTAACTGGCACCATCAATTTCTCAAAGAAAAGATAACAAGCAAGAGGGGCTGCCCCAATTTCCTTATGGATCCTTTCCCAACAATCAAGTAGGCAGTTTAGTCATGTGTGGAGTCAATCTCTTGGATATGAAGGAGGCAAAAGTACATTTATTTATTATTTATTAGCTGTTTACTTCATCCTTACTTTCTATCAAAGTAAGATATTATATTTTCTTTTTAGAGAGGATTAAGAAGGTATGGAGCAACATTTACGGAGGGCTTTGGCTAAACTGAATTATTTGGACTTTTTCATGACCCTGTCCTGTCTTTTTTAACACTAGAAAAAAATCATTCATTGATTTGGGCTATCAGCAGATTGCTGATACTCAGTTTTATATCTCCACCCCAGCCCAAGCAAGAGATGACACTGGAGTCACTATGCTGTGCCTGGATGTTGTGGGGGGCTAGATGGGATGGTACCTGCCTAAATAAATCCCAGCAAGTTACTGTTTGTTTAGAAAATCTCAGGCTCCATAACTCTTCCATCTTTAGCTCTGGACAGAGTTTTACTATCTTGTAGGATCAGGTCTGCAACTTGGAAGCCCCTCTTGACTTATGGCTAATGGCTGCAACAGCAGTTAGAAGCCATGACCAGGAAGGTTTTTGCCCAGATTTGGCTAGTAAACCACTTGAAGCCTCCTCTGGATACAAAGCTTTAGTAGCTCATGACCTTATCATTTCACGCTGACATTTTATGGTGGAAACTTGAGCTCTTAGCCCCAGGTTGAAAAATAGTGAACTTCCAGGCTACACTTGACCCAACTATAGCAAATCATTCCATTTTGAGAGAAAAAAAATACCTCTATTTGAAAGAAAAATCTATCACGACTTGTTTACAGGAAATAAAGAGAAATGTTTTCTAGTACTCTCTTCTACTGTTTGCTAAAATAACTGAGGTGCTGGGAAAGGTAGACCATGAATATAATCAGAGAATTTTCCATGAAAAACTGTTGGAATCATCCAAAAGACACTCTTGGAATAGACTAATTGACTTGAAATTATTGGGCAAATAAACACAGTCTAGAATGCAACCAATTGTAAAACCAGAGAAATAGCAGAATCGAAACGAAATTAAGCAGGTGGTTAGGGAAATGATTAGGAAATAGAATTATTTTTCTTCTTTTCTTTTCTTTTTTTTTAAAATAAATTTTTATTAATTTTTATAATTAAACAACAAAGATTATGATGCATTTACGTACATAAACAAAAAAGAAAAAATAATCCAAATCAATACATTTTCAGAGACGCTCAGCGGTCCCCGCCATGCCTCCACCCTCATCCACTTTCCTTTCCTTCCTCCCTCTAACCCCCAACCTCTCCACCTTCCTCCTTACCACCTATCTACATCCCCTCTCCTTTCTTACCACCTCCTCGAGTGCAATTTGGGATACGAGCCGAGCATCTCCTCTTTTCTGACAAAGAAAAAAAATGAAATTCAATATCAGAATTGTTGACTTCAACTCTTTCAAATAATGAAATTATCTTTTGGGCATACTTGTGTCTTTAGCATGTACAAAGAAGAAATAAAGTAATCCTTTCTGGCTGCAGTTCCTATAAATACATCTGCTTTTTAAAAATTCTGAAATAGTCTTATAATGCAGGTGAAAATATCGTGGTGGATGACTGTTAGAATGACAAAAGCCAGTCTTGTTTGTTGAATTTTGAATTTTAACTGTATTAAATATAAGCTTGGGAAAAAAAGAACATTCAGCACTAACATAAATGTCCATGTATTTTGATATTTGTAAAAGTTCAAACATAAAGTAAAGCAGGTAATGAAGGAGAATATTAACAAAATATGGGAGTCTATCTTTGAAACAGTATGAAGTAGGGTGTACTTTAAAAGATGTCTAAAGTATTTGGGTATGGTTCCTTGGGCTGTAAAATAACATATTTTAACTGAATATATAACATATGTTATCAACTGCTGTGGATTTGTGTTTCTCCAGCTTTTTAAAACTGACCACATTCTTTATATATGTTCTGTACAACTGGAGTAGGCACAGTGCTACAATTGCCTTCCTCTTCCCAATTTCATGTCAATTCATTTTTTTATTCTATCAATGAGCTCAGATAACAAAGTTATTAACTATGTTTAAAAAAACATAAGTGCACCAAAGGGACAACAATCAACCTGTTAGCTGTTATGCCAAATGATCTATATGTTTGTTTGTTTATTTTTCATTACTAAATTTATTGGCCACCCATCTTACTATTAGTTCTCTATTAGTTCCATCCATCCACCATCTGTTATTTTGTTCTTCCTGATTTTGAATATTTGCCAACAGCATTGTAACAATCTGTGACCACTAAAGAATTTGTGAATTAAATTTATGCTAAATAATCCAGTTGCCTAAATTTGCATATTGAACTGAGCCATGCTCTACAACCCACAGATATTCAATTAGTACAACCACCTAACAATGTGTGTTATATGAACTTCACCATAGTAGATTAATTAAAGCAGCTATCCCCTAACTAATATGTGGAGTCCAACTCCCAGAATGTCCCGTCTACAATCTGGCAGTTCATGGAAATGATCAAAAATGGCTTTCCCTATATATCTTTAAGTCTATTTAGGCATTTCAATGGTCCTTTCCTCAGAAGAACTTAACAAAATGAAAATAACTGTCTACCATTTGGTTCCTCCATTGCGTCATCGTGTTATCTGGCATGAAATAAGATTCAACTGCCAACCAATTGACTTCTGTACATAGAAATGGAAAGGTCGCACCATTTTCATTGCTTCAGGAAGCAAAAAGTCTGGGTCTTCATCACCAGTTCACGCAATCAGGCCCTTCATATCTCAGCCCAGATGTGTTATGGTTATCAGAAGCTCAAATAGAGATTTTGCTTCTTGCCAAAGTTCCAGACATGTCAAACAGTTTGATCCCTGCTTGCATGACTTGAATTAGGCTAAAAGCAAATAGAGTGCAGTTACAAAGAAGGTGTTGATGCCACTTGCCCTTAGTAAGCTGCTGAAGGAGACTTTAAATGAAAGGGGATTGCAATATTTGATGAAATAAAATTGTGCATAAAATCTGATAGCCGGAATAACATAACTATTGATCATATCATAATTATTTAAAATCTGTTAACAAATATTGTAAGGAGATACTGGCTTCTATTTTTTTTTCCAATGTGGCAAATGCAACTATAAGTTTCACTTCTATTCAATTCTTTTACTAGATATAGATGAATGTCGCTATGGATACTGTCATCAGCTATGTGCCAATGTACCTGGCTCCTATTCCTGTACCTGCAACCCAGGATTTGTACTGAATGAAGATGGAAGATCGTGTCAAGGTATTGTGTAGAGGAGGGAAGAGGGAGAAAAAGCAGGATTCCAATTCCCAGACCAGGAATTCGTGTCAACATTCATATAACATACAAGCAAGTTCAGAAAGCAGCAAGGAACCCTCATTTCAGCCCTGACCTACAAATATTCTCTTCTGTTGGTATTCAGATAACATTATGAATATATTTATCCCAGCAACTTTATATCTTTTTCCCCTTTTTGAAAATAATATGTCATCAGAATAATGTAGTTATTCTATAATTAAGTATATTAATATGCATTTTCATAATTAAACAATTAAATGCATTAAACTCCAACTTTTATGTAGATATTCACACTTACAGCTAGAAGGGGCTGGATCATATGACTTAATGTTTAATGGGCACTGAAAGCCATTCCAACGCCTCTATTTTCTCTAAGTTTATTGCTACCTTTCTAATTATATACTGAAGTTACATTTTCCACATTTATTCTTTATCTCTACTTTTTTCTTTTGGAAAAAACACTCTATGCCATTATACATTGAATTTTGTATATAAAATGGTTATTAAGCAAGTTCAAAAATGGGTCATTGGTAATGAGCACTGAGAAGCAGTATTTATTGGTAGAATTCCATTTTATGTCTTGAGCCATAGAATAGTTTTTCAGGGGAATGAATTTGGCTTAAAAATAGAAAAAAATCATATTTCAAACTGACTACATTATAAATGTTATGAACCATGGCAACTAATAAATATAAGGAAATAAGAAGGAATTATATGTGAAACTTCTCCTTTCCCACCTGTATTCACAGGATTTCTGCTCATAAATGGAGATTAGCTCCATTTGGCAAACCGCCCTTCAATTGATCACTTCCTAGTTTGGTGAGTTGTGGTAAGGTGGAAGTTGCCATTTCAGTGACATACATTTCTCTTGAACATGTTGATACTGTAGCAGTTAAAGAATACCGAATACTATACAACCATTTTTCAGTAAAAATATAAATAGGTTCAGGGGAATTTACTATGGCCTTAAGATCCAAGAACTGTATATATAGAGCTTGCTTAATGAATGGTCACTTAGTGACCGCTCAAAGTTACGACACTCCTCCAAAAGCTATTTACAACTTGCTCCCCAAGTTCTGATGGCCGTACATAGCTCTGTGGTCACATGACAGTATTCCAGGTGCTTGGTAGCCAGTTCAGCTTTATGTCTGGTTGCAGCTTTCTGTAGTCATGTGACTATGATTTATGATATTGTTTTGCTGGGTGTGGGTTTTTTAGGGCAGTTTCTAGCAAAAAACAAACAAACCAACCCACAACCCATAGAAATACATGGATTTACTTCATGATTGCAGTGTTTGCTTAACAACTGTCACATTCACTTAAGAACCACAATGTTCACTTAACAACTGCTGCAAAAAAGATTATAAAATTCAGTCTGGTCAGGTGTATGCTTCAACTTAAGATCATCATAACTTACAATGCAAAATCGGGCCTCCATTACAATTGTAAGTTGAGGACTACCTGGACATCATGTGTTGATGACAATTATACCAGCATGTGTTTACAGTTTTCCAACTGTAGTTCAGCTGTACTCCAATTAGAGTAGCTGTCTAGATGAATTTTGCAATATGTGCCAATTTATAGTGTAGTACAATTACGAAATGCCTCCCTTGCAGACAGTTTTTGTTTTTTAAGGCTTTGGGGGAAAATAAAATTCTTTCTGCTAGTTCTTCCATTGCAAAACCGTCAGTTGTCTAATCTTGAAGGTGGGGGAAAAAAACTTGGATATAATTAAAAATGATCCCAATGATCCTACTGAGGGTGGCAATCCCTGGCTTTTGTACATTTTTCTTTTTTTGTGTGTCCTGCTGCATTTGGTCAGTTTTTGTTATGATTAAACAGTTGGAGTCTTAAAATTAATAGATAAACAAGGAAACATCTGCAAAATACATTAAGTTTTGTTTGCCATATTGGTCTAATCCCAAATAGAGCATAAAGAATATTTTTCTATACCTCCCTTTGCCTCATATAGTGGATGCTTACTCTTTATAAAAAACACAAGTTCTGCAGGGAAGGCTAGAGTGACTTGTACATTATTTGTTCCTAACATTTTGGCAGGAGGTTAATTTGTTTATTTCTCATGAACTCTGCAACATTTCTTAAAAACAATGAGATATTGTATGAGCTTTTGTTTACTCTGTGACTTCTTAGGAAAGTAGCATGAAACACAGAACATATGTTTGTCTGCAGAAGGTGCTATACAGGTATGCCTCAACTCACAACCATAACTGGAACCAGAATTTCCATTGCTAAGTAAGGCAGTTGTTAAGTGAGTCACATCCTATTTTACAACCTTGTTTTCCCGTGGATTTTAAGCAAATCACTGAAGTTAAGTGAATCATGTGGTTGTTAAGCAAATCCAACTTGCTCCATTGACTCTTCTTCTCAGAAGCTGAGTGGGAAGGTCACAAATGGAGACCGCATGATCCTGGGATATGACAACCATTGTAAATACACGCTGGTTGCCAAACGCCCAAATTTTGACCATGTGACTTTGAGGATACTGCAATGTTTGTAAGTGCGAGAACTGGTTATAAGTCGCATTTTCAGTGCCGTTATAACTTTAAATACTCACTAAAACAATGATTGTCAAGAATTGCCTGTACTCAATCCAGGCATCTTCAATTTAAAAGCTGTCAGATATTAGGTAATGTGAAAAACTCCTGCTTTTCACTATAAATCTTCTATGCCCATCTGAACAGGCACCTCTGAATGAAATGTAATGACAGTATAGTCTGATCTGATATAAATTGACTTCCTAATTGGATATCTCCCGCACAGTTGCAGACAGAAAGCTGAGAACATGTATTATGTCCCCTCAATTTCAGAAGTGAGAAGAAGGAAGCATTTGTTATTTTGTCCCAGACTGTAAATATATTAAATATGCCTTATTTAGCCTAGAAATAAGAAATAACTGCCCTGCTCTACCTTGATGCAAGAACTCTCTGATCGGCCTGCATTCCCCCTGGGTCCAGTACTACATATTGTACTATAGTAGTAACTTCTAATAGCGTGTATAATACTTAAAACCACATCAATGGCTAATTTATTGTACATACTTGGGGCAATACAATGCATTCATATTCAGTCATGTACTAATTTGTAGTAGTTTCCAATGTTCTTTAGGCATTCACGCTGTTAATGTTGAGAAAATTGGAAACATTTCCTTTTACCCCAATCTATGTTTTTCCTAAACTGAGTTTCTGAAATATGTCTGTCCTTACATGAGAGAAAGAAAGGGGGCACCATGTCTTAAGAAGACAGAATATAAAACTGATACACATGTGCCAGACTGTAATCATGATTTATAGTTCTTATGACCTCACTGCAAACTCCTATCAGGAGCACAAGATGGTCAGAACAGTTGAAAGCAATATGAAAGCCGATATTATATTATATTGGAAAATCAACCATGTAGAATATTGAGAAACCAAACACATGGAATAAAATGTCTATATAAACTAGAACCTACATGGTGACATAAATCTTTATCAAAAGTTGGTTACTTTTGATTAAAGTTGGTTACATTTGGCTAACCAACAAGTGATCTGGAAGGCCAATCAATGGGGTCAAAGTTGGTTACATTGCTGAAGATACTCATCTATGGACTAATAGGAAATACGAAACACAAATTCAGATCCCCATATGAAGATTGGACTACTGTACGTGATTACTTTGGAACAGAACAAAACAGAAATAAAGAGGGATCCTAAAATTAGGATCCCATGATTTTGAGGGTGAAAAGTAGTTATATTATTATTTTAAACATCTAAGAATAAGTTTTGATTGCAGTATTAATTGTAGATATTTTTTCAAAGCTGTAAATATTAATTAAAACTTGAGAAAGATCATTAATTTTTTAAGTACTGGCTATCCACAGATGTGAATGAATGTACAACTAACAACCCTTGTGTACAAAACTGTATCAACACCTATGGCTCATTCCTTTGTCGTTGTGATCCTGGCTATGAATTGGAAACCGATGGCATTAGCTGTACTGGTGAGTAGAAATTATTGTGAAATATCTTGACTATGGGAGGAAATAAACCTTTTTGGGGGGAGGGGAATACACATAATGTTTTCTCACAGTAACATTAAAGCTAGCAATTCAGAAATTGAGACATGAATAAGAAAATTAATTCTTATAATAGTTAGGATATTCTTGCAATAATTAGGAAACAATTAGTAACCATGATCAGTGGCATATACTATATTCACTGTTCAATAATTTCAAATAATTCCACATAATCTAATGTTAGAAAAAGGAAATCAAACTTTGGAGAAGAATGCATTCTGAAAGAAATACTCAATTCTCAATTGAGAATTTAATCAAATGGAAAATGTATCTGTACCTAATAGTAGTGGGGCAATTTGATGTAGTGGTTAAAGGCACTGGGCTTGAAATCGGAAAGCTATGAATTCTAATCCAGCTGAGTGATCTTGGGCCAGTCCTTTTTTCTTAGCCCTAGGAAGAAGGCATTGGCAAATCACCTCTGAAGAACATTGTCAAGAAATCTGAAGGGACTTAACTATGTAGTTGCCAGAAGTTTAGATTGATTTGAGGACACACACGAAGTAACTGTAAGCATATACAAAGAGCACATTTTTTTCTTCAGTTTTAAACATAATTTTATTTTGTTCTAAACATATTTCAGTTCTAAACATAAATTAGAATGGGTCAGAAGTCCCCATCAGCTGAAAAATTGTTTATGTATAAAAATACAATTTATAGTGTTCCTGTCGGTGATTAGCATTGAACAATTCCTCCCTATAAACAGGACACTCTGGGCATTTGTCTGGGGACAGAGCACAGATGAACACTACTGACCTTGGATCTGTTGCATGCAAAGCCATCCATCCATCAGGGCCATCCAGAACTGGCCCTCTCTTTTATATCAGCATATTGATTTAGTTAAGTCTATCCTTCCGTGGAGGTAGGGGGGGAATGACAAAAGTTTGAGAGAGAATGGCATTTACATGTGCCAATATTTCTAAATTTATGAATGAAAATGGGGCAAAGGCAAAGACATTTAAGAACGCTAAATAAAAGAACATTGTTTTAAATTTTTGAGCACATTCTATATTTTTTTTAATAAAAAGTAATATGAGCATTGAGGTTTCGCACATAGATATAGTAATCCTTGGACTGTATAACTAATGAAACCAGATTCTGGAAAAAGGAATGTAAATGATATATTTATATTTATTATTTGCCCCAATAAGAAAATAAGCTCTATCCTGGATGATGTGTCAAAAATAAGTGTTTAGAATGAGTTGTGTTAATTCTTGATCTAGCACAACATCATGGAAAAAATGCTATTATAGGAAGATGAAGAAAAGTCAGATATCCTTCTCTACGTCTGGATCTTGAAATTGTTTAAAATAACTTTCTACACATATTCTTGTAGCTTCCAGAAGGCAAAATTAACAGATACTTATAGTAAATTGGAAGAGTGAGAAGTAAAACAAAATCTATATAATTGTGGTTGATTATGGTCCACAAGGGAATTGATTTAGGCTGTCAGTGATTTTAGGTATGGCATCTTCAGGCTGGAGGGCTTGTTTTTCTTTATTGCCAGGAAATAAATTTCTGCTAGGTAGATTTAATTCCAGGAGCTCCAAAAATAAAGAAAATGTAATTGACTGTCTTAGTTTCCTCTGCCCTACTGTTGTCAAGATATTAATGACTTAAATTGTTAGTCTTTTTTCTCACTTGAATAGTGCATTAAAATGGCTTTGGCCTCTTTTCCCCAAATGTATTAAGTAATACAAATTTGCATCTGGATTCCATCAATTATGCAATGTTGCATAATTGTCGCAACATTGTGAAATTCTTTACTTGAGTAGCCCTTTACGGAACCTACAGTGAATTATTTATGTTCACAAGATTTTTGTGTCTTTTCCAATGTGTTGTACTTAAGTTCCAAAAATTGTCAGTCAGCATGGGGTACATTAGGAGCCTGGGCACATTAGGAGGGTACTAGGTTATGGAAGCCTGTTTTAGAGAATAATTTATACAAAATAGAATTCCTCTTCTAGGGATTCGTGAGTCACAAATACAAAATATTAGTAGAGAAAATGTGAATGGATTGTGAATTTATTTGTGAATGAATTCTGTAAGCAGAACAGAGAAAAATCATTCGGAATATTAAAACCACTACTTCAGGAAATTATAATGAGGATTATGATGTGTACAAATGTACCATCAAGACAGAAGAAAATGGAAAGTTATTTCTCCATGCAGGCTTATCTAAGATTACATGGTACTTGTGGTTTTCTACGAGCCTGACCCTAACTGCAATCCAAGCAGTTATGAAGTATCATTACAACAGTTTTTCAGGAGCTTTAATCTATATTAACTAATAGCAATTTTAGAAATAATAGCAATTCTATCAAGAATGAGCAAACTTTTTTTTTCATATTCTTATATTTGTAGATATGGATGAATGCAGCTTCTCAGAATTTCTCTGCCAGCATGAATGTGTTAATCAGCCAGGTAGCTACTACTGTTTCTGCCCGTCTGGCTACGTTCTTGTTGAGGACACTCGTTGTCAGGGTAAGAATATTCCATTTATTTTGTCTTTCAAATATAATTAGAGGGCAAATAAGCCAGTAGTTACTCTTTTGGAAATAGTAGTAATAATAGTAATGCTTAAGAGAATTAGTTTTTGAAAATTTTATTACAAAAAGATAGTATTGAAAGCTATTACACAATATCACTGAAGCATAACTAAATAAGAAATGTTTCAAAGTTAATGGCTTTTCTGGCTAACCAGCTATTTTCCAGAGCAGCTAAAGGTCACCTAATGCTGTGATACTTTTCTACACATATTGTATTTTGTATATTGTATCATATTTTCCAATAGGGAAGACTTTAATGGAGAAAACTGATTCTATAGTAACTGCATTCTTATTTACTAGCTTTGAAAGCAGAGAACCTTTTAAAACATTCTGCAAGTATTTTGTGGCTGCAAAACTTTTCTTTATGCATCTGTGAGTACTTCCCTCCAGTTGAGCACATTTCAAAAGAACTGTTGATTGACTTACTTGGCAGAACTAAGCTTTTATAATACAATTTACTTTTCAGTAGTTTCCTTACCGTTTTTTGTTTGTTTGCTGAGTTTAAGCTGGGTATAAATATAAGATTAATCAGTACATAGCTTTCATCTGGGTATACCATACCAGTTATTAAAAAAAAATTCTATTTCTTATTTAGGAAGAGGTCAAGATCAATAAGCTTGTTGCCTTTCTTCCTCCAAACAGCAATGCAATTGGTGTAGCTAATGAAACATAATTAGATTTACAGAGAACCAATTGTTCATACGTTTATATCCAAACTGAGAAAGGATAGTATAAGACTTGTAATGAAAACTCAGTCTCTATCAGAGATATCCGCAGGCTATGGTTAAAAGGTCAAGATGTCAGTCACCATGGTATAATCACAGTTCCATCTGGTTTGTTTTTTTTTATGTGCTGAGCTTTGATTGAATCACTGTGACCATCATCTCGATCTTTTTTTTAACCATATCATGCGGACCCTCCTGACCTCTGGTAATGTTAAATGAGAGCCAGTCTTGCATAGTAATTAAAGTGTTGGGCTAGGAGTAGGTAAACCCAGGTTTTAGTGTAGCTTAAAAGTTGTAGTGTACCTATCAAGCTTGCTGAGTCACTCTCTCTCAGCCAAACCTACCTCACAGGATTATTATCATAAGAGATGGTGTAGAAACTTGATAAATTAAAAAATAAAATATTATGAGAAACATATGAGAAGTGCTCTGCATGCTGCCTTAAGTTCCTAAATGAAAAATGGGATATAAATAACATTTTTAATGAAAGCTGTGTGTACTAAGTGCTCATTTTTAATATAATTGTTTGCTGTATTTCTGTACCACTTTTCATTTAAAAAGTTGAAGAAATTAGCAAAAAATATACTAAAAATAGGGGGAAATTACAATAGAAACACAAAAACTCAGAAATGATTAAAACACTAAAATAAATTAATAAAAAATAATAAAAACAGTAATTAGGACATGTAATAAGAAAGAAAATACAGAAACTAATAGAAGGCTTGGATAAACAAGCAAGTTTTTAATTTATGATGAAACCCATCTAGAAAGGGGAAAGAGTTTAACTACTGCAAGTCTCCATAAACTCAACTAGTTATAGTGACAGACCAGTTGAAAGTGACAGCAAACATAAGTGGAAGCATAATGGATTACACAATTTATTCACTAGTGGTCAAATTACGAATAAGATTCCTTATTGATGTCTGATAGTCTTCTCTCCTAAATTCTTCTCTTTAAGTAAAATCATGTTCAAGCAATGCCTTCAAAACTTCTTTTTACGTATCTTCCTAGAAACTGTGACAAAAAACCCATATAGTTAACAATTTAGTAGTTTGTAGAGATTTCAAAGTGGGTTGATGAGTTTGCTTCTTATGTTTAGTATTTCTACATATAAGATTGGCCTAGTCAGTTTCTATCTTATTTATAGTAAATGTAATAATTATGAATATATCCCTCTCCTCTGGTACATTCCAACATCAGCCAAACGTTATTTCTTTTTGCCAAAAATATACTGGCTTACAAACTGGAAAATATATTTCTAGACTGTGTAGTAGATGAATTTACCCAGATATTTCACAAATTATGCAAGTTTTCCCCAAGAGTAAGCAGAGTCCACTTGGATCTCTTAAGGTTCATTCTTCCAGTCATTTCTGACATGTTTCTCTTTTCTGTGAAACATATTTCATTTATACAAAGTGTTTGTTCTCCTGCACAGATGAACATTGTGGAGAATGCTGATCATAGATCTACTTTGGCTATAAAAGCCACTAAACATCTTTCAACTATTAGTTCCCAATGCCTGTCAACGGCAATTAGCAAGAAAACAAGTATTTTTTGTTTTAGTTTGCTAAAGAGATATAGTGATTTTTTAAAGTACTACAGTATGTGAAAAATTATCAGAAATGGAGAAGTGAAAGACGTTATGTGGCTTCTTGAAACTAATGTTAAGTAACCTCTTTAGAAATCTAATCCTTCTCAAAATCGAAACTAAAGCTGTGTTCATTCAGTGCCTTTTGTATTGGAAGCCCAAATCTAATGGCACATGACCTACTGACCACAAGTGGGCAGCAGGTAGTAGATAAAAAGTTAAGGTCTACCTTCCCTCTTTACTCCTTCACTTGCTCCTTATTTAAGAGGTTGCTTTATTTATTTATTTATTTATTTATTTATTTATTTATTTAGCATATGGCATACAACATCAGGGAAGTCTACACATCCTAGACCCAATGCAGTCCTGACAGCCTAAGTTGCTAGTTCATTCCATTTGGCGCTTGGACGCCTATCCTCAGTTGCTGGCTCTTCCAGGCTCCTATGCCGGTCTCATCTTGCCTTGTGTCGCAATCTGCCTCATATTTGGCCAGGTCCAGTGCCAGCTTCTGCTTTCCGCACACACGAATGCAGCTAGGTGCTAATCTGAGATCTCTCTTTTGCCTTACTTCCTAAACAAATTCAGAGAAAGCATTTTATTCTTCTTCCTATTAATAAATCTCCTTTCCTCTGCTATTATAAAATCTGTTGTACTGATCATTGTTCGGTTATTGTTCTTACACTTCAGAAAGCTTCATTGTCCAGGGTTGTGCATAATGGAAACATGTTTTGTTTTTCCTCATATTACATTTCACCAGACCTTTGAAGATCTCTAGACGTTCGTGTGTAATTTCATTTTAGTCTCACTAGAGTGCATAAACTCCCTAAGGATGCCCAGTAAGCTTTGTAGTGATGAAATTCAAATCCAAATTTTCATGGTCCATTTCCAACATCCCTATCTGTTATTCTCCACAGCTGTGTTAGATTATATACGATGATATTGTCATTGTTAACTGATAGCAGGAATTAAAATTCAATATACCCCAAGACCATTGAGCATTGGGCAATGTTTGGGAAAGACTCCCCTAAACATACTAAGTGTCATTTCACGGAAGGGGACTATCTGATAGGACTGTTGCAAATTGCAGTCTTAAAACAGTCACTTAAAACTTACCAGCCTTTATGGCAGACTACAAACTGTAACACTCAACCAGACTTTGTATCATATATGAAGGAATCACATCAATTGGTTCCTCTCTAACTGGATTATCCCTTTTCCTGGAAATCAATAAGTTAATTCCATGGGAACTTCACTGATTTCTGGCTTGGTCTAGCAACTTCTGGCTTGGTCTAGCAACTTCTCCTGAATATGCTTCCTTCCAGGATACCCAAATTTCCAAAAAGCCTCAAATTTTGTGAATCCAGCAAAGTCTAAGTCAGTGGTTCTCAACCTTTTTAATGCCGCGACCCCAACCGGTCGTAAGTCGAGGACTAAACCGGTCGTAAGTCGAGGACTACCCAACCGGTCGTAAGTCGAGGACTTTCCCTGCCTGGGAGCGCCGCGCATGCATGGTTCCGCCCCCTGCGCCGGCCGAGGTGTAGCTGGCAAGCGGCAGAGATGGAGCAGGCCGACCACCAGCTGGCGGACAAAAAAAATGGCGGACAGCCTTGCTTGGCGACCCCCGTGAAATGGTCGATCGACCCCAAATGGGGTCCCGACCCACAGGTTGAGAACCACTGGTCTAAGTGCTATTGCTATTTCAAGACTGTTTTATTTCATAAATATAGGTTAATGTTTTAACCAGGAATCTTGCACTTTATAATTTTGCTCAGTATAAAGAATAAGCAAAGTGTAATAAATCATTGTGATATGAATGTTGCATTACAGTTGTTTTATTTCCAATACTGAATTGGTGGAGTCTTAAAGAATGAAGGGGTTAAAGGGAGATTGCCAAGTAAGGCACTGCAGGGTATGAACTGACAGCTCAAACCACCAGGCTGCTATTCAAAGCCAGGAAGGCAGGACCAGAATATGTAGACCCAGAAGTGGGAGATCCCAGTCTTTCATCCTATGGGCTCAGCCCTACAAGGTTTTTAAAACTTTTGTTTATATTATGACTGAACAATGTGCACTAACACATTTATTATAATGCCATATTTTCTGGGTTTTTTTTTTCATTTCAGATGTTAATGAATGTGAGGTTGGGAATCACACTTGTAACGTGCAGCAAACATGTTTTAATTTCCAAGGAGGATTCAAATGCCTAGACCCAGTAAGATGCGAGGATCCTTATATCCGGATCAATGAAAAGTGGGTAATATATTAATAGAAAAAATTAGGGCAATAATATTCTACAGGGAGCACATTATATAGTATAGTTTTTGGTTATTTTTCAAATTGCACTTGCTATTTTTGGTTGCTAGCCCTGTTCAATCTTGATTTTAGAATGTATTCTCCCATTATTTTTGAGAGATGAACTTAGTATGAAATTGACCAATGATTGAAAATATTTATTTCCCAAAGAAATCAAGGGTTGCATAGCCACTTGTTAAGTGCATAGCCATTGTCAAACCCAGTTTCTTGCTGTGTTATATATAAAAAAGCCAATAGCTAAAAATGCAGTTTTTATAGTATGCATTTTCAAATATACAAAATATTTGTCAGTACAGTTTGCTATTTTCCATAGTTTCATTCTAAACTCATTCTTTCAAGTTTTCTCCTCTCAGAATGGAAATGTTCAATGATAAAAAATAGTTCTTTGTCCGGTCACCAGGTGGCAGGATACTCAGCTATTTACAACTAAAATAGAAGAAATGCTTATGAAATAATAACATTTATCATCTTCTCCTGTAATATATATACAATTGCCTTTAAAACTAATTAGAGATATTTCATAAGTATGTTGTTAATACATGTTTATTTCACACACTCTGTTAAAGGCCCTACAAGGCAAAGTCATCTCTAATCTCTTTTCAAAATTAAAAATGCAATGTCATATACATAATTAAACACCCAGAGAAACAAAAGAAATGGAAAATAATCTTTTAAAAATATTTCTTCAGACTATGATTTATGCCTGAATTTAGATTTATGAATTCAAACTATAAATATTTTGACACTAATTTATGCTCAAATAATTTGTGCATACCAAATTAAATAAATTATGGAATAAACCTGATATACTTTTTTTACTTTCATTTTTTTCTATCATGTATATTACATTATAACAAGGGTCATCATCTTATTTTTGAAATGAAAACTATCCCTTTACGTTCTGCAATATATTATTCATTATATTTTTATATCATCCACTGACCAAGCCTTTGAGAGGCGCGGTGGCTTAGTGGTTTTATGACACTAGAGATGGTCTCTGCTCCAGCAGTTCAAATCCTAGCACTCTGTGGCAGGGTGAACTTCCATCACTTGCCTCAGCTTCTGTCCACCTAGCAGTTTGTTATATGCAAGTAGATAAATCCCCACTTCCTACTCCCCACTTCGGTGGGGAGACTAGTTGGTCCTCTGTACAGGAAGTCAGATTCCTGCCAGCTCTGAATCTTCCCAGTTGTGACACCATTTGCAAGGTGGTTCCAGGGAAGGGAGGGGCCTTGGGTAACGCTGCAAGAAGAGCTGTTTGTCTTTCTTTCTGGTGCGAAGCCAGCTCACCTTTTTGTGGCGCACCATTGCAAGCGTGTCTCACAACAGAACTGGTAAATTGGTAGCCAAACAACTACCCTGCAATAGCATTGTGGTCTCCTCGATAATGTAATACACAATATGTTAATAACCACCACCACCACCACCACCACCAAATCTTTGGACTGTTTGCAAAATGTGTAGATCAATAAAATACAAAATATAATATTAAAACATCCAAACAGATACATTAAGATTTAACTATCTCAGCATAAAAATAGCACTCATGTGTTTGCTGTTAAGCAACACAGAAAGTAGCATTCTTATTTGCTTATAATAATTTGATTATAACAGCAAAAATAATAATAGGTATGAAATTTTAGCTAACAATAACAATTCACCATAATGCACATTATAATAAATATGTTAAGCTTTATTAAATAATGTTAAAAATATCCAAGGTCCTTGTAAATCAATAAGTTGATAGATGGACAAAAATGCCAAATCCAGTCTAAACATTTGGCTGACTATGCAACCAGATGATGATAATAATAATAACAACAACAACAACAACAATTGCAAAAGGCGGCCTTACTAGGAACTGCTTCCATCCTGTGACGATATCTGTAATACCATCAAACATCCACATCTGCCTATCCCAGGTCCTTGATAAGGACTCGATAGGTAGACAAAATGCCAAATCCAGTCTGAACATCTGGCTGACTGTGCGATGATCCATAATAATAATAATAATAATAATAATAATAATAATAATAATAATAATAATAATAATAATAATAATAATAATAATAATAATAATAGTAGTAATACTTCTTTTGTTTTGGCAGTCATTGTATATGTCCAACTGAAAACCCTAGCTGTAGAGACCAGCCATTCACCATCTTGTACAGAGACATGGATGTATCAGGACGTACTGTGCCCTCCGATGTATTTCAGATGCAAGCAACCTCTCGCTATCCTGGGGCTTACTACATCTTTCAGATTAAATCAGGAAATGAAGGCAGAGAATTCTATATGCGGGTGAGTGAGATTTACAAATAGACACTTTCATTATCTTCTTTTTAAAATAATCTGTATTATTTTAAGAGGTTTTTTAAGTTTACATCTTAAAATTTTAAAAATTCTTAAATTCTGAAAATTTTTATAAGTTAAACTTTGTTTCGTGAACTGGTGCTTATTCACTCAGCACTATTATATCCATGCACTGTATTATGTTTAAATCATCATTATCACCATGATGCTATACAATGATCATATGTTTAGTAGCCTGTCTTATACATTTGCTTACATTGCCTGTCTGAACAGTAAAATCATCACAAAAATACAGTATTCATTTTATAAAGAATGCTAGATGAGTGCCTTACTTGAAATAAAGTAAAAAGCAGTTTCAGACATTCACAGGCAGTATAGTCTCCACTTAGCAAGCACTGGAGCAAACATGGAAGTTATCTGTTTGTGACTTTTTCAGGGGGCTATATGCTAACTGGGAAAAAGGCGTTAGTTCCCTGGAATTTCCAACTTACTCAATATAATCGTTTTATTTTTGAGCACTGTAGAATAGGCAGTGAGGCAGAAGAGAGAACCTTAATTCACTCCAGAACATGACACAGTGAATTAAAGTCTTCTTCCCAAGAAGACTTCATGAAGGGCTAGATGGGAATGCAATTTTACAGCAGCCTTACTCCAGATTTAAGTGGCCTTTGATAAAGCAGTTTCTGCCCTCTCAAATGCTTCCATCAGTGGAAAGAAGGAAGAAGCAAGGAGAACAATTCAGACACCTATTTCTTTGAAACTAAATTTCTACAATCTCTGAAAACCAAGACTGGCTCTATTGTTTCTAGTGGTTGCAGCTACTGGGAACCAAATCAGGTGAAAAATTGGTTGTTTAAATAATCAGTTATTAAATAAATATGATCCTCCCTCCTATGTCTTTTGATCTCGGCCTCTTTTCTTTTGAGCTATTTTCCCAATCTGTTCATTCCCCATAAGGCAGGGAAATATCCATCCTATTTGCTACTCCAACTCTTGCAGAACATTAGCAGCAGTCAAAAAATAAAGACAATCCAAAAACACAACCAGAAAAGGCAGCAGTCAATAGCCCTTTGCATTCACACAGTATTTATCCAACACTAGATCCACAGAAATGAAGTGGCATATTTTCAGTACAACTGCTGGTGCAGGACTCAGTTCAGATTCAGACCACTCTCCCCCAACCAATACATTCTAGATCAGCACCATCACCACGTTCTGGTTTGGCAAAATTTGCTGTAAGTGTTCTCCGTAATGATTATGGCCATAGTCTTGAGTCACCAACAAAAATAAATCTTATACAGAGCCATGATTTTGTTACATATATTTAAGAAGACAGCTTTTGGCCACATGCTATGCTTGAAGTACTTAACATCTTTCCTTGGCTTTCTCCACACAGCAAACTGGACCTATCAGTGCCACGCTTGTGATGACTCGTCCTCTGAAGGGGCCACGTGACATTGTGTTGGACCTGGAGATGGTCACTGTTAACACTGTCATCAATTTCAGAGGAAGTTCTGTCATTCGACTGAGGATTTATGTATCACAATATCCATTCTAAACCTAGACTGGCATTGCTTTCTTTAAAACTACCACAGCAACAGCTGAAAAAGGACCCTTTTCTGCCCAAACTTTTTTTTCTCAGAAGTCAATTCTTCTAACAATTCAACTTGAAATTAATATTCAAACATGTCACAATGGTTCATGTTACAATAACTGGACAGTACTTCTTGTGGTTTAAAGGCACTTGAGCTTTGAATTATCATTGGATTCCATAGAGTTATTTTATTTTATTTTATTTTGCTCATGAGTGTTTAGATACTTTGGTCTTGCTTTCCAAACTTTTTCTAAAGTGTGATTAAAAGCTTTAAAAACTGTGAAGATTTTCACTGTAATGGCAATGCTGTTTAGCCAAAACACTAGAGAAACTGGGGAAAGTTGGCTTCTACTGTTGTTTTCTAAAAACGAAAGAAAAATGAGTAAAAAATGCTTGTGGGACCAGGAAAGCATCAGCTACTCTCTCAAAAAAAAAATAATTATGGAATAATCTTACATTCCGAACCCTGGGTCTGATTCAGGGAGAATAATTCCTTATTGGTTTTGTTTTATACTTTCCCCCTTTATTTCCAGGCCAGGGAATTGACTGCCTGGAGATCTTAACTAGAATCCAAACCAACCACAGCTATAACACTTGCTTAAGAGAACTTTGCACTTATACTTCTTGAATATACCCATTTACACTCTAGGCAACCTGTTCTTAAAATAGACATAATTTTCAAAAACAGCTTTTTGAAACAACATAGATGGCATGTCAAACTTAATGCTCAACTTTAAAATATTTTTTTAAAAAGTCATTTCAGGCACAAGAAAACAGGCACACATAAAATAATTATTTGGATATGGCCATTACGGATAGTATGATGTAATTTAATGACATACTTTAAAATATTTACTCAAAAAGAGGCCATTATCTTTTCATTATCTATTCCAGACCCATTTCCTTAATAGTCACAAAGCAGCCTACTGCTGTGTAATGATAGTTCAATATGAAATCAGCAGAAAAAAATCCACACATATAGGTCATTTTAGCAACTCTAACAGAACCATTTTTATTCTTAGTTTTATTATGCTTATTTTATATTACTCTTTTTTTCTGCATAGGAAAAACATGCATCTGCAATTCAAGAAATACCCAGGCTAGTAATTAGGATGGCTCAATAACAGAGTATATAAGTTCCTAGCTTAGTTCCCAGTGTTTCCAGTTAAAGACCTCAGGAAGCAGAATGGGAATATCTAATGCCTTAAAGAACTGTAACAAGTAACCGCATCCATTAAATTGGCTAGTGGTTTGACCTTGAAAAAGGTAGCTTTTTCTGCATATTAAAAAACTAGATGTACTGTATTCAGTGATATATGTTCTAAATACAGATAGTCCTTGATTAACAACCACTCGTTCAGCAACAATTTTAAGTTATGAAAGTTCTGAATGAGGCAAATTACAGTTGATCCTCAAAGTTGCAGCTGTCGTGGCATCTCTGGGGGTGACAGTATCACACTTTGGGTGTTTGGCCTGGGAGTACAGTGGTTAGAATGCAGTATTGCAGGCTAACTCTGCCCACAGCCTGGAGTACGATCCCGATGGGCTCGAGGTTGACTCAACTTTCCATCCTTCAGTAAAAAAAAGGACCCAGATTGTTGGGGGCATATGCTGACTCTGTAGACCACTTAGAGAGGGCTGTAAGGCACTATGAAGCGGTATAAGTCTAAGTGCTATTGCTATTGCTTGGCAACTAGCTTGCAATTATGACACTACAGTGTCCTGCAGTCATGTGATTGCCATTTGCAATCTTATTGCTGGTTTCTGGCAAGCAAAGTCAATGGGTTGCAGGAGGTCACAAATGGTGATCATGTGACATCAAAGCTAACAGGATTTGCCTAATGTTACCCAACATCTACCTATAGGCATTATATTAAAACATACAATTAGTCCTGGACATATGACCACAGTTGGACCAGAATTCCCATTCTAAATTGGTGCAGTTATAAAACAGTCATCACATGACTGATTTATGATCATTTTTATTGTAGTCATTAAGTGAATGGTATTCCAATACATGAATTACTTCATACTTTTACTATATTATGAACATTTTTAAGATTTCCAGTATGGATAAAATTACATGAGATTAAGGAAACATGAACTAGCTATGCTGAATCTGATTTCTCAATGCATATTCAAAATAATGTATGTGGTCCAAATTTCAACAGAAGCTCAGTAAGGATTAGATTTTTAAAAAGCTGATTGCACTCTCCTGGGACCTGAGATCATAGTTGTGATTGCACTTCCACACATATTTGGGGAACATTTATTTATGGGAGTAAAAATCAAAACAAATCATAGTGGCAACGAACATAGTTCTGTCATTTGCAGGACATAAATTTTTAAAAGTTGCTTTCCTGCACATATGGTTTGTAATAGTTTCAATAACTCAAACAAAACACTGATTTTTTTAAAACTGTATTTTTATTTTTAATTGTTTTATTTTTTCACTGGCTTCACTAGTTTTCTGGGAACAAAAATATATTGTTCAGAACCAAAGTGTGAACATACAAGTTCACTAAGGGACTATATTTTTCTGAATGTTCTGATCATGTAAGAGGCTCTATTCCTAGTCCAGCTGTGCTTAATTTGTAAGTTGTTTAAACTTTTATTCAAAGTAAAAAAAAAGATGTGCAGATTTTTTAAAAAGGAAAATTATATTTGGCAATATATCTATGTTTGGACTCTAAAACAGCAGCAAACCTTGGATGACTTCTTCTGTATAATTATAATTACTTCAGACTATATGAAGATCATGAGTAGCTTCCTTTCCAGTTCAAGGAATGACCTGGCTTGAGAGCATTTATTTCTTTTTAAAGTTCCACAAACTTGTTCCAAAGGTTTACTGTTGCTCATGCATATAATGCTGAACTTATGTCCAAAACAGGTATTTTACATGTGCAGGTGGAAAAATATGTGATGGTTATTTGATTGTCCATTTTCTGGAGGACTATTGTACTATGTGACTTTTCTCCCTAACAATCGAATGACCATCTACTAGTGCTTTACTGAAATGATTTTGTTTCCTGCTCCAGCTCAGTCACAAAAGGAAGATTCCCCCCCCCCCAGTGCATTATATGATGAGGCAATGCAATTGCGTCAGTGCTGCTTGGACACAAAGGGTTAGAAATACTTTTTCTTTGCTGTATAAAAAGCCAATATTAATGGTGAAATACTTTTATGAAAAATGTGCTGAGGAAATTATTAACCAGTGAAAACCCTGCTGAAATATATGGAAATTATTAAGTAAATAAACTATGCCTGAAGACATAATTTTGCTTCTGGGTGGTTCTCATGCATTACGTGGGTTTCCAGCAGGATTTTTCAGCAGATTGTGCTGCTTGGCTACTATTGTAGAGATCAAACATAAATTCTTCCTTCTTTGCTACCAAATGTTTATTTTCATTTTATTATTAATTGATTATTTTATTTTGGAAAAAATAGTGTTAGCAAGTCATAATTTGTTACTTTTTCATATGTTGCTGAGGTTAAATACATTATGCAAACCAGCAAACTGAGTCAGATTTGGGTTTTTTAAAACAATTATTGTTTTGTCCTGCCTTTATTACTTTTTTTAAAAAATTATAAAGACAGGATAAATAACTCAAGACAGCAAGCACACCTAGTACTCATGCCTCCTACTCTTCTTTGGGCCAATCACTCAGATAAACCTCTGAGGTGGGTTGGGCTAAGAGAGAGTGATTGGCCCAAAGCCACCCAGTTGAATCACACAGAGATAGGAAAAAGATTAATTATATGTTTGCCAGCTTGGGCAATTTATAAAAATAATTGTAAAAACAATAAAGGCAGAGTAAAGTAAATAAATAGTATTATAATCAGACAGTTAAACCAGTATTTTCTATCATCCACTCTACTGTTTCAGCCATAAAGGAATCGGAATCCAGGAGTGATTTATTGCTATCTGTACTAGTATTGCAAATTTAATCCTTTTCTTCCCAAGCCACCATTATATGTCTCTACAGCAGATAGCTATTTCTAATTCTCCTTTTTATCTCCTGTAGAGTTAAGTAAAGACATTAATTACACTTGGTTGGCAATCTCTCAGACTGGAAAACCATTGCCCTTAATTTTCTTCCTTTGGTGCAGATTACCATTTCCTTTCTCTACTACTTTACGGTATTCAGGGAACTCTGATACTCTTCAGCCCAGGCAGAGTAGGAACAAACAAGCCTTCAGTAGGTCCAGATCCTAGTCCAGCATAATTCTCAGTCATCTTTTGTCCTCTCTCATTGTCCTTTCGCTAACCAGTTTAGTCACATTTACTTCTTGCCTGCCTTTTATGACAACTGCTGTCATAAAACTCTTATCTCGTTAGTTTATTAGACTATCATAATAAAGTGTAGATCTGATGAAAGAATGGGAGATAGTCCTGCTGCAGTCGTCACATATTGAATGAATGCAGTCCATACACATTAACAGGTAACAACATGGTTTGTCGGTCTGATAAACAAACATTAATTGGCTAGATCCCAATTTGCTAAATCACAAATTGCAGATTACAAAGTATGAATCAAACCACAGCACTGCTTTCCATGTTGAATGAACTAGGACCGAATGTTACTCATATTATTTCATCTTTGTTTATTCATGCTGGAATGCATCTGCTCTTCCCTCATATATTCTTCATAAGAAAGGGGAATCTGTTCATTAGTGTTAAGTACTCCTAAGCGCTAAATGAACAGTAGAATTAATTGGAGGGATTAAGTCCTGATAAAGTATCCCAAATATCTACAGACAAAAGCAATGTTATACTAAATTATGATAATTATATAAGTCTAGTAGAATATATTATTACTGTAGCATAGATTAGCTTTCTGTAAACGAGCTTGCTTGAACTTCAGATGTATGTTCCTTTTTCTGAATGTGTCTCCAATTAACTCTGTAATTTGTCTTTTATGTATGAATTGAAATTTTTTTATAGCTGCTTCTACATTCCATGCAGCCTTTCCCTTAGACCCTAGGACCGTCTTCCCTATTTCCTCATTCTTGTTCACTTAATTATATTGTAACCCTATTGCTACTGCCCTATTTATGGTTTGTTGCAGATCCAGATGTTTAGTCTGGATTTGGCATCTTTTATCTATCTATCAAATCTTTCCCAAGGACATGAGATAAGAAGATGTTGTTTAAAGATGTTAAATGACAGATATATCTGGGAGTAAGCTCTATTTACCATAGTAGGATTTCCATCAGAATGCGCACAGAATTTACTAACAGTATCTACAGATACAACTTACTATAGGACGAATGGTTTATAAAAAGTCCACTGAATACATGAGACTTGCTTTTCAGGAACTTCAGGATTAAGTTTCTTGATCAATAGTCATTTAGTTTGTATTATGTCCTCTGGTCATTCAGGCTTGAAGTAATCTTAAATAACCTAATGCAGTCTGTAGATTAAGAAATTCACAGTTTGAAGATTATAAATTCCAAGCATATTTTCTGAAATTTTCTATCCATTAGTTACTTCATATTTTTTTAAGATTGTATTGTACTTATACAGGAAAATATTTCCAGTTGATCTACATGACAGATTTTTCTCTGAGTATTTTTCTCATTGGAATGTTCTCCTATAAAGTTTTATTAGGGTATATTTGGAATGTAGTTTAGCTTCTAACTTAACCTTCCTCAATCGTCCAGACAGAGTTATTGTGGCGAAAATAAGAGGCGAAAAATGTGTTGGATAAGCCTTGAGTTATTTGTAAAAATAATAGAGGTGGGATACAAATAAATATATAAATAATAATATATTCGATAAAAATGATTTCTGGGAGTTGCAATCAAACACATCTGAAGTGCTTCTAGTTTAAGGGTTAATCTAACCATACTTCCTTTGCCTAAAATAAATGAAAGATGGGCAGATGTTTGGTGTATTCAGTGTATTTAGAGTATTTGGGGCAAAAATGGCCACAATGGATGCACTAATAATACAATTTGGGTACAGCAATATTCTCACACATGAATGGGGCTAGGGCAGGAGGAGATTACAATGTAAAGCCTATTTTTTTAATAGATATTTTCTAGTAGAAAGCCATATTGCAGATTTTCAGCAACTCTACTGGTAGCATCCCATCTATATTTATACACATGCATATTTCCCAAAATCTCTTTAAATGTCTGCTTCTTCATTTGTCCTAAGCTTCTTATCAATAGTGATACTGCCCTTACCTGGGTTCCATTCTGTACTATTTCCCTTGTTCCAAGCAATACTTTTCACTGTATCTCTGATCATCATATGGATAAATCCATGAGTTGTTAACCAAATCATCAATGCCCCAAGACTGCCTAATTCTTTCTCCGTCCTGATCCAAAGAGAGATCACTTGCTCAGACAGGATTACAGTTTTATGGAACGATTTTGGCAACCATTTTCAACAAAGTATCAACCCTACTGAATTTCCATACTGAGTCAGCAAGGCATCCATTTAAGATATATTGCCTGTGTACAAGTCTAACTCATGTGAATAGGCA